GCCCCGACCCTGCTTTTGGTTCTTTTGACACGAGAATGAGAAGTGGAATTGCTGGATCACATGATCACCCCATCCTGACTTTTCAAGGAAATGTAAATGCATTTTTTAAAAGTGTGAAAGGACCACACCGTATCCTGAGTGGCCCTGGTGGACGCACGAGAGATGAGCCCTCAGAACTTCGAAACCATTTCAGCCGCTTTTTTACTTTTTATGTCAACAACTGACTATTTTTGGTGATTTTCTAAAGTAGAAAAGAATTAATAAAAATACACCGACAGGGCCCCTTCCCTGTGCCCCGACCCGTCCCTGACCTGCTGAATAAGCTCAGGCCCTCACCTTCTCTGCCCAGCCTCCCTCGCCGCCTTCCTGCATTTCGTTCCAGCCTCTGGAGAGAATCCCGCGCGACGGAGGGCAGAGCTGGCTGCTCCTCTGAGACCCCCAGGCCTGGCTCGCTTCACTCGGCGCCATGTCCTCAGAGTCCGTCCGTGTGGTGCATGCGGCCCCAGCTCCCAACCCCTGCAGGCTCCAAACACCCTGCGGAAACCAGAACCCCCTTCCCGCCTTGGCCCCTGGTGAGTTCCTGTTCATCCCTCAGTACCCTGCTCAGAGGGCCGTCGTGGGTCTGGCCCCATGTCCCAACCCCTGCAGGCTGCAGGACCCCCCATTCAGCCCACACTGGCCTGACAGAGCCTGCCAGGGCCCCCACGCCACTGTGCCCCTGGGCTCTGTGCTCCTGCCCTCCGCCCTAGGCTCACCCGCGAGCGGCAGGGGCTCATGTTCTGTCTGATAGGTGATGAGATGCAGTGTCCACTAACTTCCGTTCCGTACAGAGAGTTGGGTCTCTGGGACAATGAGGTAGATGCTTTTTTCGCCATCTGTTCCCCAGATCATTTCCTGAGTGCCTAGGCAGGGCCCTGCAGGCCCTAAAGAATGAAACACGGTCACTATTCCAGGAGCTGATGGTAATTTCTGAGCAGGGTACTGAGGGATGAATAGGAGCTCACGGGGGGCCAAGGAGGGAAGGGGGTTCTGGGTTTCTCATTCAATCCCCAATGCCTGTGAGGTGGGGCATGCCTGTCAGACTCCAGTGGAGGGGCTCAAGGAACCAGAGGCACAGAGGATACGACCCTGAGAGGCCACGGCCAGGCTGACAGCAAGTACCTGAAACCAGGTGCCTCCCACCCTAGGCCTCTCACTTTCCTCAGGCTTTGGCTGGGAGGAGACAGACCCAGGGCGGGCCTGAGTCATAGGCCCTGGCTCATGGGCCACGCCAGGCTCGGGGCAGGTGGCACCAGGGCGCCTCTCAGGTGCTGTGACTTGGCAGCCTGGGCCTCCCCCACCCTCCCCAGGGTCTCGCGGGAGCAGGGTCAGGGACCCAAGGCCCAGCAGTCATGTGGTTGGAGGGAGGCAGGCTTTAGAATGTGCCCTGGCGATCTGAGAGGCCTTCCTGGGGGAGGCAGGGGAGCAGGGGCCCCTCCTGAGGAGGGCCTGTCCCTGAGCACAGGAAGAGGGCGGTATCGAGCCCCAGGCACCCAGGCCAGGCCCGATGACACACGGCAATCTCACAGGCTGGCCTGATGGCTGGGCTGGTCAGGCAAGTGCCTGGAGGGCTCAGCCTCATCACCAAGTGGAAGTGACCTCACTCGGGGAGTTTCGGAGAGGTGCCCACATTCCGCCCCAGCTGCCAACAGCCTCACACAGCTGGACAGGACAGCGGGTGGGTGGGTGTCCCAGGCCGGATGTTTGGGACCCAGACTGTCCCACCACTGCCTGCCTGGGGGTGGGGGCCCCTTGGCTCAGGCTCCATGCAAATCCCAACGTGGCGCCTTGGACAAATATTAGTAAACTTGGCGTGGACTGACGCTGCCTGACGCCACCACCGCGAGGCAGAGCCTGCCCCATTCTGGGAAGCAGCTGCCAGATGCCTCTGGGCTCTTGGCTATCAAATGGCCCTGGGATCAGGGTCACCCAAAAGCTCCTTGCCCAGGGTTCCTGTGCCAGCACGTTGCCTCCTCATTATTCTCCCACACCCCAGTCCTATCCTCCAGAGGGGACCCTCAGACAGGCTTGCTTGGGCAATGGGGACAGGGTCCCTCTCTACAGTCACTGCATCACTGCACCTCTCCGAGCCACTGTTTCTGCAAATCTGGGGAGTTGCTCAGCCCCAGGTGGCGCCAAAGGAGGTCTAGTCCCAGGCAAGGAAGGCCAAGGGAGGGCTCAGTAAGGGGGACAGCTGGAGTTGGGCCCAGTGGGGCCACTGGCGGCAGTGAGGGCCCATGGGGGACTCAGGACAGTCGATGAGCCTGGGGGTGCGAGGCAGGCCGGCATTCAGCTAGCTGCTGTGGCCCCAGGGCAGCACCTGTCTGTGAGCGACCTGCTAGGTGGTGCTCGGTCTCCTAACCCTGCAGCCCCCTGACACCATGGATCATTATTGCCCACGTCTATACAGAGGCTCTGGGGTCCTGAAGAAGTCCCATGCTGGTCCAACGGGTCCACTGCTGGCGGGATGGGGAGCCAGCTCCCTTCAGCTCTCAGCCAGGTTCTTAACCAGGTTCGTGCTGGTCTGGCCAAGCAGGAGCCCAGATGTCTGGCAGCTGCCGAGGACCTGGCCAACCTGCGGATAAGGGGCCCCGGCCCCTGGGGCAGGGACTGTAGGTGGTGAAGCTACCAGGGTCCCCTCCAGGGCCCTGACCTATTCCTACTAGCCCTGCTTTGACCTTGACCTTGTCTGTGAGGGCAGCAGCAGAGAGGGGGCTGGGCCTGGAACCAGGGCTCCCAGCCCCTACCAGTCAGAGGGCCAGCCCTGGGCTGCAGGCTCCCCAGCCTCCCCTGGAGCAGCTGGGGTACCCGGCCAAGAGAGGCGGGGCTCGGGGAAGCACCTCAGCTGTTCCTCCCCCAGCCCTCTCCTCCCTGGACCTGTTTGCTCATCTGTGAAGTAGGGGTTAGAATACCTGCTTTGGGGTGCTCTCAGGGTTAGTAGGCGCAGGCTGGGCACACGGACGCCAGCTGGCTCTTCGAGGTCTCCCTGGACCCCACAGGGTTCTCCATGCTGTCCCCTCGGCCCCGTGTTCTCACACGCTGGTACTGCTGTGCTCCTGAGGGCAAGTGGGGCTCCCGTCCTTGGGGGTTCCAGCACCAGCCAGGCCTGCAGGCACACAGTAGGTGCTTAAGCAATGCCCAGTGTCTGGGGTTTCCACTGACTGGCCCCTGGGTGAGGGAGGCAAGCTGGTGGGCCTCAGACAGCTTGCAGGCAGGGCGCTGGGCTCCCTCGAGCACTGACAGAGCACCCACCCTGGCGGGGTTTTCCTGGTCTCCCACTGCCCAGAGGAGCCTCTTTGCCACGTCGCACTGCCCAGCAGCCGGGGACCCAGGCAGGACAGCGCAGCCCTGTGGTGGCACAGTGGCTGGGGAAGGGACACCAGGGAGGGTTGGCATCTCTCCTGCAATCTTACGCAGCCTGACACCACAATCCCCTCCACCCAGCAACTGACCTGCTCGGCTGGATGCCAGCTTTGACAGGGAGCTCATCACCTTTTCCCAGGGCCCCCTGGCACTGTCCTGCGGGGAGATCTCTACCCACCCTCCGGTCTGCTCCCTCCCCCCAGCCTCCCCGCAAGGACGGGCAGGCAGGGTGGCCAGGTTGACCTGCAGTTCCATGCTGGGGACAGCATCCTGGCACACCCCATCTCTGCCCTTTCACACGGGGTGCCCTGGCCACACAGGTGGGACTGCTGCAGCTGCCACCGGGATGGCATCCGCAGAAGCCTGGTCCGGGGCCCTGTGGGAACCCTAAGTGCCTCTCTGCTCACAGTGGCCCTCAAGGGCCAGGGTTCTGCGCTGGTCAGAGAGTAGGGGACTTGCCAGGCTTGTGGGAAGGGTGGGGCAGGGCTGGTCCCAGGACTGGGTTTGATGCTCTCGTGTCCCCATGTTGACATTTTTAATACTTTCTGAATCAGCGGACCCTCCTTTCCATTTTGCGCGGGCCTTGCAACGTGAGGCCGTCCTGGTGGGTTCTCACCCCAGCGGTGGGACCTCCTTACATCTGGGGCGTAGCTGGCTGGGGGCGCGGGACGCCCAGGGGTCCGCTCAGCCGGCTCCCCCCCACCCCTGGGAACGGGGAGGAGCTGGCTTTCGCTTCCGCCGCTATTAAACCCTTTAAAGGAAGAGGGTAAATAAAACCGCCTGTCCGCCCGGCTGGCAGGCGATGACTCAGCCGCCCCCTCGGCCCCCAGGGCCTCCCTCCGCCCGGCTGTGCCTTCGCGGCCGGAGGACTCCGACCCCGTTCGGGACACCTGGAGGCCCAGGGAGCGGGGCGGGCTTCGCCTCCTTCACGCCACCTGCTCATCCCGCGCTGTCGTGGCCCTTCGCGTGCTGCCTGACCTAGCCGGTCACTGTGCCGGTCCACAGAGGGGGAAACCGAGGCTCAGAGCAGGGGAGGTCCATGCAGGCGCTGCTCGTGGGTGGCAAGATGGGCGACAAGGCGACTGGGGCAGGGCCCCTTCCGGAGAGGGTCTCTGGGTGCCCGGGGAGGGGCCCCGAGGGCGATGGGACGCCCTGGGCTGGGGAGCTATGAGGAGCCCGGAGCGGCAGGGCTGGACCTCGGGGCGCCCGCAGCGTGGGGGTC